GTAGAAACGACGAAAACGCAACGACGTATGGTCCCTATCTTTCCGAGTTCTTAAAGAGCCAATACACATATGTGCCTGGTTTTACGTTGTAGCTGACTGACTGATTGTATATTAGATTCTCTTTCTTTTCCAATTTAAAGTTTATTCTTGAATATTCTAATCAGTTAAGTAATAAAATTCTATAATTTTTTTATATTTTCAAAACATGTTACATAATATCTATAATGGTATTTGACTCTTTTCTTTTAAATTTCATTTATCATAAAGATTAAAATGATTCATAACAGATTTTCGTGATTAATTTGGTTTATTTCTTCAATAAATTATTAATCAGGTCAATGATTCGATTTTGCGTAGTTCCTCTCTGTGTCTCTGTGTCTCTCTCTCTCTCGTCATCCAAAGTTTTTCTCATTATTGTTCTTATTGTTGCCTTATTTTTCCACCCCTTTTTTCTTTTCTTTTCTTTTCTTTTTACTATTTTGTTCCGTTTTCTTTTGGTGCTTTAGTTATTCTTTATTCTTTAATAAATAAATAAAAAAACTATGGTTTCTATGAAATTATATGAGATGAAGAACATTTGTTTATGAATTTACTTGTTTATCATCCAAGTATCATTTGTGTTACCACTTTTTTTGTTTTCTTGGTATTATTCTCGTGATCACAGAGGGGTTTTGTGGATATTATGGTTGAATTCATGAGTCAATTGAAGCTAGATTACTATGGAAAGCCTAGACGGTGATGAAACTCCATGGATTGGTTGAAGTTAGACATTAATACCGTTGAGTACCGGCTTAGTTGTCTAGTGATTAAACGTTCGCACGCGGGACTGATAAGTCCTGGGTTCGAATCTCGCAAAGCAGGATCGTCGATGAGCACTGCTTAGGAGTCCCACATTCGGACGAAACAGCCGTCCAGTACTTTCAGGTATTCCATGGTGATCTAGCTTCAATTAACTCATGAATTCAACTATTAGATTATTATTGTTATTGAAAGATTTAATTAATGTTTTAAGGATAAATAACACCTAAAACAATGAAGGATTTAGAAACTTACAGTCCATGAAAAGATAGATACTAAGAATTTCGAACCTTGTCATTCAATATCTTTAACCACTGGTTAAGGTAATCATGCTGATTCTAACCAGGTAGAGTCTACGTCTATTAACATAACAGTTCGATTGTTAATGAGGGCGGCCTGCTTGATCATCTGGGCTACCTGTTCCTGCCATCTAGATATTTCAACAAGTTATCTATTTTTGTTTGTTTTAATATATCACTATGTTTATTAATCGCACAACCTATTCTGCTACGTTTCTGAAAAGTGTACAACCTTTCGTTGTCAAAGTTACAAAAAACTCAATAAGAGACAATGTGGTTGCTGGCAATGTACAACGAAAAGAATGTACATTATTCATTTAGTTCATTTAGTGAACTGCTAACATCTAACTGGCGATCACTCAATATTTATCGCCAGGACCGACGAAGAAGAAAGAAACGGACACTTGTTGAAATACTTTACGCTGAGAATTCTATATTGTACCAAAAATATAATATTGAATAAAGCTGATAATAATAATAATAATAATAATATATTATTCTGTAAAAAAAAAGAAACTTATTACAACTCTCTCAATACATGAAAAGTTGAAGTTCTGATCTAAGTCTCAACACAAAATCGCCTCTCAAAAAAACGGATCTTATGTCATCTATGAATAATCAAATTTTAGAAATCACTTTAATTAGTTTGGGATCACTGTCACTCACAATCGTTTCATAGCACTTTATACTGATGGAGATACGTAACACCACAGAGAGGTATTAATTTGAACTGAGCGTATACCCTTTTCACGTACATGTACAAAAACAAATATCAACATTGTAATGACCTAATATTGTTGTTACTCGTGTTAATCCTTGCAGGTAACTATGATGAGGAAATGGATTGAAAGATTATCGAGGGAATACCAGAGAATCTCATGTAATTCATGTCCTTCTTGGATCAACTGACAAACTGGTTTAGATTCAGTTCATATGGTCAGTTTTACATCATAGAATGGCCTTAATGGCAAGACTATAATTTGTGGACAAACCAATAAAATTTAAGACACCAAGTTGTCGATTTCGGCACGAAATTCATATATGCATATGGTTAGGTAGTATAGTTGATGGTATTTCACAATGAAAACCCTAAATCTAATTCACAACCCTATTTTCTAACCCTCACATTAATTTTTAAACCTCCTTTGATCTTAGTAAGTAGATGCATTTTCCTAAGGTCATTTGAGCTACGCTCAAAGACCATCCATAAATTATAGTCTCATCGCTTTGGTTAGAAACCATTAAAAACCAGGATACCCCATGTATCATCTCCTTATTCCTAGTGTAGAACTTCTCAAATGTACTTGTTGATGATTCACACTAACGACCGAATAGAGGAGCTATAGCAACTCACGTGCAATTGAATTTGTTCTCATTTAACTCGGTTAAGCCCTTTTGTTAATTTATTTAGCGGACAGAGCCATCCGTACCTTTATTATTGTTGTGCTTGTATGAAATATGTATGCTTGAACATTGCTTACCGCCTACGCATATATTCATTCTGCTAGCTTTATTATCAGCTGCCCAATTGATTCGATGCTCCATACATTTCCCTATATATATATATTCCAGATTCTACATTGATTGTAATGGATTGTAATATGACGTCATGCTAAGATGAAATATCAATTGAATGCCCTTTTTCATTTAATTTGATCGCCGTAAACCATCCAGTTTTTGATTCATAACAAAAATAGAAGGCGTTTTTTTAATGCATGAAGTTTGTAGTTAAACAACTATTAAAAGCGAGAAAGCACTGAATTGCTATTTCATTCTAGTGTGGCATTCATCAGCAGTTCGCATGCATGTGATCATTGGTTGCCTTCCACGTGTTAGGATTTTTAACTGAATGGTTAGTGGGTTCGAATCCTGGAGTAAGTATCAATTCTAGGATGAAGGTATATCCAGCTGATGGTTCTCAAGTAATATGGAATAATCGTCCTGTATTTCACTGCTAGCGACATTCCATCGATTCGATATGACACAACTACATTTTTTAATATAGATTCTGAAGTACAAAAAATAATAATTCAAGTTGATTACATGTTTTCAACGAAATAAATAGTCAGTTATATGATGTTGATTCTGTAAGAGTTTTTAAAAGTTGATATGTTTCTAAATGGACGAAGAATCTATAATTTCTATTTATGTTCAGTTTTGGAAGTCAGTTATAAAATCTTATCATTTCTCCAGGAATATTAGAATAAAGTTTCCAAACAGGCTTTTGAATATAATGCCGACTGATTAGAGGACTAAAATTTCCATTTACGTACTCAAACCCAGGACCTTTGACCTCACGCTCAAACTCTTGACCTGTAGACCACTGAACTGGCATTCGAATTCGCTAATGTCTAACTTTAATCGATCCATGATCTTCTGCCTTGTTAGGTGGATTAGTCATCGCGGGCCTTGGAGGGCAAGACAATCTGATCGATGTCGCCGGGACAGCAAAACAGTTGTAAGCGGGACTTTTCGCGAAGCCGCAAGCGATTTTACTCGCCATTTTCATGGCGCCATGCAACTACAACCAATACTCATCTTTGCTTTTCGGTGAGATGGTTGCTAGCTTTGAAACTAGCGCGGTTTGATATTTAGTTGCAACAGAAGCTGCAACCACTTTGCTGACATGCATCCGTTTAGGACGATAAACATGTTAGCTACTGAAACGTAATATAAGATTAGCGCAAACAAGGACATGACCAGAGTCCACATAGGTACTCTAAAATTAGATGCAGTCTTGTACGCAACCACATCAGTGGTACCTGATCGCTTGGTGATCAATATGAGTCCGGGTTTGAGAAACAGAGGGAGGGCGCCAGATGACACATCGACGATGACTACCGGTAGTTAGTGCTAACCAGAAACAGATTGTGGTCTGTGCACAGTTGTAGTAGACGGTCCCCGTTATCTGACCTGTGACCAACAATTCCCCATCGGCCACCCAAACGACTGGACGCCCGACCTGAGCACTCAGGTCTCCGGCTAGTATGACAATATCTATCAAACCCACTTCCTGTAGATGAGCAGTTAGCTGGTGGTAAAATTCATCCTTGATCAGAAATACGAACATTTTCTTCCCTCTCTTTTTTTCCAATGTATGTGCTTTGGTATCAACAGTTAAATTGATAATTACATTTAAAGGTACTTGTAAAATATGATTTGTCAGTTTTCATATGTTTTAAGGAGAGTTTGGTTTCACAAAAGTTATCGATCAATTTTTATTCATCTCTGCATTTTATTATAACCACTTTACCGGAGGATTGCTGTCAACAATTATCCATGTCGGGTAGAGACAGGTATCTACCTCAGTACAACGGAAGTTGGTCGGGCAATTTCGTGGATTAGTTGATGTTAGACACTATCACCATTGGATGCCGGCTCAGTGGTCCAGTTGGTTAAGCGTTCGCGCGCGAGACCGAAGGCCCTGGGTTCGAGTCCCGCGAGCGGGATCGTCGATGCGCGCTGCTGAGGAGTCCCACAACAGGACGAAACGGCCATCCAGTGCTTCCAGGCTTCCAAAGGTGGTGGTCTAACATCAATCGGTTCATGATCTCAATCAAAAAGAAATTATATTATAGATTTATTTAGTTCTGAATAAATTCAACATTATGAATCGTCTTACAGAATGTCTAAGTGATTGAAGGTAAAAATATAAATCAATGAATACTTACTTATTAGTCTTGAATGTCAAGCTGCTGTCAAATATTTGAAAGTCCTGAGTATGATCCCTGGTGATGTCATAGGTGGGCACTGTAGAGATGAAACAGCTGTTTGATGCTTCATGGTTCCTGAACGGTTGTCTAAGGTCAATTCTTGATGTAAATCTTGTACTGAATATTGATTTACATAGATTTTTATTTCGAAAACACTTTATATTTATCATACTATTTCTTTTATTTCTAGAGCGTTTTTTCAGAGGTACGAACATTCTTTAAAGTCTACTGTTACATCATCATCATCTGATATTGTTAGCACATTCACATCTGATAATTCTTATAATGAAAATCACAATGAAAATACAAGAAAGAAATTAGCTTCATTACGTTTAGTTGAAACTAGTACACAAGAGAATAATTTAGTTGCTCCAGTAATAAGAACCAAAGAAATGTGGCGTTGTAAGTAGGAATGATTTATAGTTTTTACTACTCTTATTATCATGTACAAGTTTGTCAATTGCTTGACTAAATCTTTTCATGTTTTCTTAGTTCTCTTTTTTTCCTGATGATGATTTTTATTTTATTTTATTTGAACACATTAATATTGGTACGAGAGGGCACCAAATATATATGCGCCACACCATATGTGTGTGTGTGTGGGCTGTGATACTGCTCGGGTGCCCAGACAGAAGCAGGTGGTTTTCTCAGGGGTTACTCCCCGAGCCTTGGACCTAAAGATCTGACCCACAAGGCAATGGAGTATCGTGAGGAGATGCGGTCCCATAGCAGCCGGTGACCAACACTTGGTTCATACGTCATTTGTTCCCTCAGGATACTGGAGCCCATGTGCACCATTGGTTTGGAATCCGGCGAAAGCGACGGACATTCGCTTTTCGTCCTCTCAATTTCGTGAACAACACCCACGATGCGAGAAGGCAGTGAGTTGGACTTCCCTGGCAGAGGCTGTATTCGCGTAGCCATGTGAGGGCAAGGGAAAGAGGGTCCACCCCACTCTCGGCCCTACCAGGGCATTTGGGGGCTGTTTCATGTCTATCTATTAATAGTAATGAGCTGAAAATCAACTACTTCTCGTCTAAAATTTATCTTGAGTAGTTGCAACATGATAAATGTCATAAAGGATGATTGAAACACGACGGAACTAGATTAACTACTATCAGTAGCAAATTATCATAAGATCGTGAATATGTACATGATATAACTCACCTCTTCTTTGTATTAGTAACTGAACTTTCAAGTCTGCATAGAGTAATAAATAGGAACACTGAATCACTTGGTTTCAAATTTTAATCCCTACAATCAAAGTTCATTCGTAAACGGAATGATTTACTTTCAGTATTGATTGTAACATTTAAATGCTGTGGGTTGTAATCTCACAAGAAACACTAGTTTCCTCTAGGTCACCGATATGTCTTGCTGATGGAAGCCAACTAATATCTAACCCTAAGATTCAGGGTTCTTGTTGTTTGGCTCATATCGTTATTATCACTATTGTTAGTGAAATCACTGTTTTTCCATGGTGAATAGCCTCATTTCTTTTTAAACTTTCTCTTTGATGTTGAATTCTTTATAATGTGAATGGTTTATAATTGTAGAACTTTTGAACCAACCTAAAGAACAGACTCTGATAATGTTTTCTGGGATACCACAAGAAATACTTCAGAATTAATCTATCTATCTTGATGAATGCAATATCACTAAAGAAATATCCTCTATTGCAAACAAACCGCTGTCGGCTGACATTATGAACTATTACCAGTTCCAAATTGACTTGATGTTGTTTACTTGTATCTTCCCATTGTTATTTAGGACTGGAATTGATCGGTCACGTATTGGCTATATATGTGCATACTATACTTATTGCCTCGATATTGCCTTAATTCACAAGCACTATAGGCAAAGATGGATAGTGGCTAACAGTGGAATCCAATTTGACGAGCGTTTCATCCTATTTTTGACTCATCAGCCGAATGTAACTGCATCTCAAAGTTGATGTTCACTCTGGGACTCGAACTCAGTACCGTTCGCTTCAAACACCATCGTGTTATCAACTTAGCTACTAAATCCTGATAGTCACTGACTTGTGCAATACAGTGAAGTTTGAATATTCACTTTGTATCTTCTTATTCATAGATCATTTTGATTATTGAAATAATTATTGATTTCAATAAATGATCTTAATTACTTTAACTTTATATCTTCTTTTTTTTTAATACAAAAAGCGAATCAATCAGGTTTGGGAACTATTCATTCATCGGAAAGTATTATTTCTAATAAATGTAATTATCAAATTAAACAAGATAAATTATCTCAAGAAAATTCTGTATTCATACGTGATCTACCACCGATCACATCAGATTTTATACGACCTGTTGGAATACCTTCATCATGGCAAAAAGAAAATCAATTAGAACCTAGTTCATGGAATAAAGCACAGGTTAATTTTTTTTTTTGTGTTCTAATTTATACATTTGCAATTAGAATCTTTAGAAATATTGTAGGCAAGTTCTAGAAAAATAGATTGTATATCTTGAACCGTTGCTTGCCTCAATAGACAATGTTAGCTGGTGTAACAGTTGAGAGTGATAAAAACAAAACTTGGCATCAATCCATAAAGTCATTAAATGTTAGCTTGTATTGTATTGATAGATGCTGACCACGTGGTTGAGGATTGTGTAATAACCACGATCACTAGTTAAGAGATTCTCTTGATATGACTCAAAATTGGTTATAATACATTCACTCAACTTTCGTCTTGTCTTTCAATATTCCTTCGTATAAACTTTTTCATCTTGCCTTTTCAATTATATTCTCAATTTTAAATCTGTCTCATTATCGTTACTTCTGTATTATTTAGATTTCTTTACTATTCATCTTTTTTAAAATTCATCACTTCGAGCTGATTTGACAAATCCATAAATGTTCCAAGTTTTGTGCTGATTGGGACGAACTAATTGGCACATCCATTCGATAAAGCTAAAATTTAACGAATATATACATCAGCCCATAAACATTGGTACAAGGAGACACCAAACAGATATTCACTACATAAATCATTCAATTTGTGTGTGGGCAATGAAACTACCCGGGTGCTCAGACCGAAACAGGTGGTTTTCTTAGGGGCTCGCACCTCGAGCCTTTGACTTAAAGGTCTAATCTACAAAGCAGTGGAGCAACGTAAGGAGATTCAGTCCCATGGTAGCTGGTGACCAATGATTGGTTCATACGTCAATTGTTCCCGCAGGATCCTGAAGACTATGTGCACCATTCATTTGGAATTAAGGTTTTTCAATCTCTTCTTCATAACCAACAACCTTAATAAAGCATGTGACATTCGCTTTTCGTCCTCTGAATTTCTTAAACAACGCTTTGACTATGATCAGGTAGTGAGTAGGACCTCGCTGGCAGTGGTTGTATGCACGTGGCCATGTGGGTGCATTTTTCGAGGGAGAGCTGACTCTCTCCACTCTCGGCCGTACCAGGGAATTTAAGGGCAATAAAGTTGTAGTAACCAATTAATCGATTTTTCAAAAATTTAGTTTAACTCCTTCACCGTGTATAAGCCGCACTCTAAGTGTTAAGGGTTAACGATACTATCTAGTTACCTTAACCGAAGTATATGCGATGGGGTTAGAATGTGATACTTAGTAACTAAAAGTTGATCACCTTAACCATTGGAATATATAGATAATATTAGTCGATTAATTTGGCTCAGAAGTTACTCGTGATTTAATCTTCGCTCGAATATAACACTATCCATATTTCATCATTACTGTTATTTGAATATATAAGTAATTTATGAAGTTTATTGGACAAATTATTTGATTGACTTTCAGTGGAAACCCATATTGAACTGTCAATTTGTCCGTAACCTTCTTCTAATTAAGCTTATAAACAAAAGAATCAATAAGTTATCTTTCTGTTACTATTCAAAGCCTAATGTGCACGAGATCGATAGGTCCTAGGTTCGAATCTCGCTAAGCCAGATCGTGAATGCGCACTGCTGTGGGAGTCCTACAATAGGACGAAATGGCCATCCAGTGCTTCCAGGTTTTCCACGGTGATCTAGCTTCAGCTGACTCATGATCTCAACTATTGAAATTTTGTGATAAACAAAATGTTTTACTTATAATAACAATATAAACATCATATGATTAACTGAATTCAGTAGCTCTTTAAATCATTCATTAGCGATTAATATGAATGGTATTGGGTTTACACTTTAATGCTGATAAATCCAAATGACTAATCCTGAATACAACGAAACATTCATTATAGATTTCATTACTGACGAAGATCTATCAACACCCCCCCCCAAAAAAAATATAAATAACAGTAATATTTGTTTTATGATGTTATCTACAATCCATGCAAATCATCAACTTTAACATAACTCATTCGGCATTAAGTGTGAGTATACTTTCATTAAAAAAAATTGATCAAATTCTTTCGCCCATTATTTCACCTTTTCATTCTCTTTACAATAATACTATTCAATATGCATCATTAATTTGCCTTTTAATAAGTCATGGAAGATATTTGTTCTTCAATAATACCATATGCTTATATTTAAGGTCATTATTGTGATAATAATGTATATTTGTGCTATTGTATTTATAAAATAATGGAAACAAAACTTCATATTTTATAATTCATATATTCTTCTTATTATTTTATTGTTTATTAATTATTCTTTTTCTTATCAATAACACACCCTATCAACCAAGAAAAAACAAACATGAATGTTTCATGATGTCCCAGTGTCTGCTGTTTTCTTTTTCTTTCAATAATTCATTTAAGCTACTTATTAGTAGTATTGTTAATATTCTATGAATATCTGCATTAGGTACATTTGATATGAATGATTTTGGAAAAAGAATTTATTTGTTCAATATATTTATATTAATGTGCAGATGATATAGTCCTGTTTAGTGTAGAAGCTAATAAAACATAGAGTCTTTTGTTAGCATTGAGCAACAATGGCAGAATGTATAGAATGCTCTTCTCCCATTGGAAATACGAGTTGTTGTTCCAAGACTGGTCTGCATCAACACCTGAACTAACGATAGAGTGTGAAATAGTCGAACACGTTGACAACTTCACTTATCTTTGAAGTCTGATCAGTCCGAATGGGTTAGTGTCTAACAAAATCTCAGTACGGATTCAATAAGCTGGTTTGGCTTTTCTCAGCTTACATCAACTATGACGAAGGCGAAATATCCATCTATCTATTAAAGGACAAGTATACTGTGTGGCAGTTCGTTCTCTTCTAGTTTACGGCACTCGTAAGCTACTAGTATTTGACCACAGATGCCTTAGAAATATTGCTGGCGTCTGCTGGGATCACCGGGTAAGTAATAGTGAGGTTAGACTCAGGGTATTAGGGGATGATGGTAAATGAGTTGATGATGTTGTAAATCTTCACGGACTGAAATGGTTTGGCCACGTGTTACGTATGCCTGAACACTGATTACCACGACGCTCAATGCTGACCAGTGTTGAGGATGGTTGTGAGAAAATTAGAGGTGGCCAAACCAAAACGTGTTATCAGTCCTTGAAGTCACTAACTTCTAGTGTGAGCCATGTTGGGAGATGCAGACTACTTGGTTGAAGTCCGCGTGACTATCATAATCAGTGGTTGGAGACTGTGTGTGAAATGGCTCAGAATCTATCACAATGGTGTAAGTGTATACACTCTCTATCTTCTCTTAAACTATGAGATTAAAATTACTTTATGTCTTTTCTTCTACGAACTAATTCTTTATTTCTATACTATATCCTTATACACATTCTTTCTTTTATATATTACTACCATTGAAGTAACTACTTCTATGAATTTGGTGTTCACATTGGTTTGCTAATGAAGTGTGGCAGGTTGGACCGATGCACATACTTATCTGGTTCTGCATTGTTGCTAACTGATGGACTGAGTATCATTGTGTCTCAAAGCTATACTATCTACTACTCTGATCGATTACCCTTATAACTAGATCAACATGCGAGATAATAATTACGATATAGATCTGTTTTCTACTATCATAAATGTAGATCGATAAATAATAAATTGTTGGCTAGTGTAATTAGTTTTTTTTCACAGGTAGATGAATATTTTTCTTTCATTGGCGTACAACTTTTTCTTCTAGTTGTGACAAATATTTTAAGAAAAACAAACCGGTTATTTTTTATTTGGTTATAACTACCTTCAAATTTCTACTTTTCTCATGATGACATCTTCTAGTAGTAGTATGTGCAGTTTGTAAAGCTGTCAAGTTTAATATACTTAGACAGTTCACGGTAAATTAAATACTCCTTACAGATCCACAGATAGACAATACTGATTCATTAACTACAGTCGTCGGTATTCAAATTGGATATCGAAATAAGCTAGATAAATATTTGTTCGTTAAGTAATCAAATTGTTTACTGTTATAACTTATGGCCTGTGTGCCCTGTTAGTATATAAGGTAACGATACCGCCAATTAGAGAGCAGTGAATTATCGTTCGGACCAATGACGCGTAAAACCCGTGCGAGCAGTCTAGAGTCTATCGATCCTGCTTACTGCCTAACCCAGCCAGTTAAGTCCAGAACATCAATCTCAGTCTCTGCCATATGAATCATTGATTTCAAACATAGTGGGGTTTATATACACCAACCAAACAGACCACATCATACCATACAATTGTAAACAGTATTTGTACAAGATTGGGCCAAATGTGGCTGTGAATGTTTTAGGTAGTGATTAATAGACAGGGCCTAATTCAAGAATGGTAAGTCGTATAATAATAGTTCATAGGTTAAAATAAACCTCATAATAAGAGGGACATGAATATGTATAATTTAGTTTATTAACAATTACACCATAAAAATGTACATATAGTATTGATCCATAAATAAATGGATCCCAAAAAGTTACCATTCATTATTCTTATCGGGACATAACATTTACACAATATCACAACATCACTTTATTCTACAATATTGATTACTACTGTCAATAATTCTGTAATCTAATCGTCAAAACTGTAAATAAGCAACTGTAACGATATTTTGTTGAGGAGCGATAAATTACTGGTTAAGATTTTTGAGTTTTAACCAGATATTTTCTAATTCATGCCCCACCTCCCGCACTACACGTGTATCAGTTCTTCAGGGAGCTACATAATACTATTAGAAGTAAACTAGTAGAATTTTTCCATTTATAACTGAGAGTTTGTTTGATCTACCTCAGTCTTGATTGGTTATTTACAGAATAAGTGCCAACAACATTTAGTCAGGATCAAGATCGATAAGACATTCTATTATCCATATATGGATAAATCCTAATGACTTCTATTGTGAAGTTTGTGCTGATTTTTACCCAGGTTAGAGAATGAAGCATTACAATGCATGAATTGATTAACTATTTAGTAGGAAACCTTTATATATACTCGTTTGTTAGTCAAATTGATTATTTTGAGGTTTAATTATATTAAATAAATCCTTAATTTACATTAGATGGTATGGGTCCAAGTCTTTAACAATCACAGATTCATATAATCGAAGATACTATTGTCGACCATTGTTAATTATCTAACATTCTATCTGTTCATTCTAACCTGTTTTCATCACTGAACTGAAATAGTTACACTTTTTTTCTTGTCGATTTTTGTTCTCAGTTAAGTACAACTACAACAGTCCCTGCATCATCCAGATCGATAGGTCTACCCAGTTGGGAAATTTTCACAGAAGATCAAGTTGAACAACAACAGATGGACACTTCAAATCCGTTAAATAGTACACAACAGTCAATTATTTGGTAAGCGAAGTGATTTCTCCTTTCTTAATTTCCAATAACATCAAGAATAAATCTATTAGACTGTTTAGTGCTATGCTGCAAAATCAATACCATTAATAAAGCCATATTCATTGTCTATCTGTTACTCAATCTTCAGTTTGGTATAGTTCCTTGTCTATTATTCCTTCATTATATCTGTTCCTTCCAAACTGCACTTTTTTTGTGTGTAGACTTTCATAAGTTTCTCCACTTGTGAACTTCTTGTTTTTCCGTGGTAATAGATGATTTGGCTAATTGAACCGACATTCGTATCGGGTGCTAAGTTGATGATCATAACTCATATTCCTCTCAGATATCATGTGAAAAAGTCGTTAAACAACATATCGACTGCCGTGAACTTATTTCTGTGCTAAACGAATGACACGTCAATCAGAACTAGCAACCTTGAGTCAACTTTAAATCTTTATAGGTCCTCGATTCAGTAGCTCCTCCGTCTGCTGTGTTCATTGAAATCAGAACACAATATCCGCCTTCACTATATGAATAATACACTTCAGACATACGTAGTCTATATACCAAGCAGACCAGACCGCATCAAACCATAAAATGAAAAAACAATAGTTATACGAGATCAAGCCAAAAGTGGATGTGATTAGGGCATACAGTAACTAATAGATTGGGAATAAATTAAGAATAGTAAATCGTATAACAGTAGCTAACTGATGAAATGAAAACTTATGGTAAAAGAAATATAAGCATAAATAATCTAGTTACGTAATAGCTATACAATAAGAATATATGTACAATAATAGTCCAGAAATAATTCTCCAAAGTTATCATTCATTTAGACGCCCATCGATGACTGGTGTTGGAAACGAATGGAAGAAAGTTAGAGGCGGCCAAACCAAAACATGGCATCAGTCCTTGAAGTCACTAACTTGTATTCTTAACCATATCGATAGATACAGACTACTTGGTTGAGGTCCGCGTGACTGTTGTAACCAATGGTTGGAGGCTCAGGGACATGGCAGAGAATCAATCACAATGGTATCGGTGTATACACTCTCTGTCTTCCCTTAAACTAAGAGATTAAAATCGCTTCATATCTTTCTTTCTACGGACTAATTCTTCCTTATTGCAATCTTTCTTTTATATATTACTACCATTGAAGTGAATACTTCTGTGAATCCGGTGTTATAACAAATCAAAAATATCCATATTAAATATCAGGTCTATTTCGACAATTAGCCATATACATTATGCTGATATTGAATACTATCCATGACCAAAACTCTTATTTCATTTGTATATTCTTCTTTGCAAGGTCACCGCCTGTTTTGTTTTGTTTATATAACTAAAGCTATTAACACTTATTCGAAGTGACTTGTTGACCTTGATTGAAGAAGAACTATATTTAACCTGTTTTCCTATCTTGACCTCTTAATAAAGTCATTTAATCCTTAATCAAATTGATCAAATCATTTATAACTTTGAAACTCTAATATCCTTGTAAATCATCTCTCTTAATATTTTGCATAAAACATTCATTTCATTTAACACAATGACCTTAACCTCAAGTTACTGATAGAATATTACTTCATCGATTTGGAATTCATTATCCACAACTATTTAATGAGATGTGTATTTTTCTTAATTGACATTTAAAACTTCATTATAGAAACGTAAGTGGCTCAGTGAAATGTTCTTTTTAACAACTTTAACACCGTTCAATGCTGGCTCAGTAGTCTACAGGTTAAGCGTTCGCGTGTGAGACCAATAGGCCTTGGGTTCGAATCTCGCCGGGTGGATTTATGGATGTTCACTGTTGAGGACAGGATGAAACGGCCATCCAGTGATTTCAAGTTTCCCATTGTGGTCTAGCTTTAATTGACTCATGAATTCCACTATTAAATTTACTGAATTCTTCACAAAACCCTCTTCTGATAACGAAATAATCATTGACTTAAAAGTGTTTTAAACGTAGATTGAATAACATTACTTATGGAAAGGGATTGTACAACATGGTGCAATAGAGTGCTGACATTAAATTTGAAGAAAAAAATCAACCTACTTATTGTCAGTGAAGAAATTGTGGCGAGACTATAATTTATGAACGAACCAATCGGGTATAAGATAATAGATCTCGGATTTTGGCGCGAAATTCACTCGTCCGTTTGGCTAAATAGAGTCTTGGCATTATAGCTTATGTCAGTTTGTGATGACCCCCCCCCCAAATCTAATTTCTAACCTTAATCATCAACTGTAAATCATAATTCTAATTCATCAAACAGATTTATAGACATTCTTTATGTTTTCAAGAACGCTGACACTTGATAAGATACATGTATATATTATCGTTTGAGAAGGAGTTGCCCCCAAATCTCCTGTTATGTCCAAGAATGGCCACGTTCATAAAACCGCTGCCAAGGAAGTCCTGCTCACTGTTTTCTCGCGACATTACTGTTGTTCACAAAATTGAGAGGACGAAAAACAAGTATTCAGTGCTTTAACCGGGTTTGTGGGTATGGAGGATCTACTTAGGGGAATCAGAAAACCCAAATTCCAAACCAATGATGCACATGGGCTGGATCCAGTATCCTGAGAGAACAAACACCGTATGTACCAATTGTTGGTCACAGGTTACCATGATACTGCATCTCCTGATGTTGCTCCACTGCCTTGTGGATTAGACCTTTAGGTCGAAGGATCTGGGTGTGGCACCCTAAGAAAACCACCTGTTTCGGTTCGAGCATCCGGGCAGTATCCCAGCCTTCACACAAATCGGATGATTTATGTGACCCATATCTATTTCATGCCTTGTTGTACCTATGTTTACGTGAGAAGGAGTTATGTATAGGACAAAGACATGTCTTCAGTTCGATTATAAAAATAATCTCTCTGTGTCTCTCACGCTAAAGTATCATTGTGAGTAGTTAGAATAGATGAATAGAAATTGTTCACTTTGATTATGTAAACTATTCCATGTTTCTGGGTATCATTACCAAGGTTTGACTTGATAATTTCGAATCAATTGATCGTTGGGTAGATTGTTATTAATAAATTAATTTGTAGATATCCCAATCAGTAGAAAAATTAGATTTTCTGACTTTTCGTGACTTAGTGTAAGCCACTTCTTCAGAGAATAAATATTCTCTTATGCTCCAACAATATGACATCTCAAAATAGTGAGCATAATGTTGAGTCACTTAAACTAGTGGGCACATTGCGACTAGGTTAGAACAATCTGATCAGCATTAAAAATCTCTTGACAAACATAACATTGGTCATTAATCAGTGATTGGTTAATTATATATACATTACGGTTTCACAGAAAGTTAGTCATACCCTGAATTTATTTATTTATTTGAACACATAAATATTGGTACAAATAGAGCATCGAATACATATGCGCCACATAAATCACTGTTGGATACCGGCTCAGCGGTCAAGCGTTCATGCGTGAGACTAAAGGTCCTGAGTTCGAGGAGTCGCATACTAGGTCAAAATATTCATCCAGTGCTTCCAAGTTTTCAATAGTGGTCTAATTTATATCGGTTCATGATTTCAATGAAATATGTAATGATTTTACAAAGAATGGAATTTTATACACTTCTCTTTCTCAACTTACCATTCATTGTTTTATAGTTCACATTAATGTATTCTTTGAAGTGGTATGGTCCGTTTTCTTTTTATTGATCAAATCATAAAATCTAGTTACCATGGGAACACTGAACACAGAAACTGTAATTTTCAAAGCCGTTTAGCTTAATAATAATTCCATGCACTGATCCCATCTCTTAATACATTTAACCAACGCTATCTCTTTTACAGTTTAATCCTATTACAACTAGAATATTGCATTCTAGTAAATGATAACTAGACAAACGTGATGCATGCCCTAACTATCTAGATTTAAAACGCATTATTTAGCTTTATTCTAATTCTGATTCTGCCATACACTTGAAGTATTTTGAAGATAGCATTAAATAAATACAATTTACAAGTGTTTTCTCCCATTATTCATGTTTCAAAGCCGTAAAGTAAAACAAAATAAATTACTGGTCATTATAGTCGTTTCTGAGTAGATAGACAGATATCTTTCGTTAAGTATAGGTGAAAGTTCTTTGTGAAAAGGTCAAGCAAACGTTTAGTAACTTTATCTATTTCATCAAGCCTCTAATAAAACTTCCAAGATAAGTGATGTTAGCGATTAATACACTCAATTTGTTCAGTTCATAAAATCGAACTTAGCATAAAGGAGGATGGTAACGGTCTTTATGGCAGATTTTACAACAGGATGGCAGCGTTCTTCTTCTTCTTTATAGCTTAATCACCCATTTATTGCACATTACTAGGTATGACTTCTTTTATTAATTATTAGTTCTGGACTTGTAAGGTTAACGTATAATCGCAAGTTTATGTTATGTATGTGTGCACAACTCACTTACTTACGCCTGTTACTCTTCATGGAAGTCATCCATCAGCATTCTCACTCCAACTCTGTCCTTGGCAGTCCTTTCCAGTTGCTATTCTTCCTTTTTATATCTACTTCTATTTCCTGACGTAATGTGTTGTTTGACCTTCCTCTTTTCCGCTTCCCTTCAAGATTCCAACTTTGGGCTTATCTCATGATACAGTTTGATGATTTCCATAATGTATATCCTATCCACTTATTCATCTTTTTATAAAACATTATACACATTACATTAAAATGAGACTTATTTCAAGTGAATAATTTCATACATTAACTATGCGCTTGGTTAGTGATCATGATCTCAGTTCAAATATTATTCTGAGATGATGGAGAAGATTTATAGCTCAAATGGATGATTTCGATGAAGTTTTATTCTCTAAGCCTGGATATTTTAGTCATGGAGCAGTCCAGAGAACAAACGTTCATCAAAAATTATTCTATCTATTTACAAGATTATTTTATTATTCAAATTGTTTTTCTAATCAATTCATTCATTCATTGTTTATTTGTTTGTTTGTTTTTTCCATTTTCGGTGTTGTTGTATTATTCCATTTCATTTAGTACTAAACGTAAAGGTTTAAAAATGAAATCCTCATTCAAAGATAATGATACTTATCAACAATTAAATGAGATTTCTTTTATTGAAATTACATCATTTAATCATTTATTACATCATAATGATCGTGTTAATCATTCATCAAATCAACATGATGATCATTATCAAAGTGATAGATTATTAACTAAATTAAATTTACCAAGTTTCCCCGGTGATAACATATCAGAAGTTGATTGTTTTGCATTTGATATCTCTGTAAGTATTGCTTTTCTGTTTTGTTTTGTTTTTTATAATCATATGTCAGTCAGTCTTGAGTGTTGTTAGAGGTATGAAGGCGGTTATCACTTCCCGGTTGCCCACACCGTAGAAGGGTTTTTCTGGAAGTACCTGAAAAGGAAATTGAATTAGAGGTGGTCTTAATGACCTGAGAACGTGACCGCAGTGCCCAAGGGACAACTGTTTGAGGTCGGTCACATACGACCTTTTTATGAGTAATTTTTGTGTTCGCTCCGTACTTGTTGAGACCTTACCGCCGGAGACAGATATCCGTGGGATAAGGCGAGGTGTGCATTTTTAGGGTCGACGTATTCTAACCCCACCCCTATTTGTGGGAAGATAGCATCGCTGTCATGCTGGTTGTCTGAAGGAAACACCTTACTGCTGTCACACCTCTGTACGACTTCGCCTCCGGACCTTGGGTTTGTTGCTTTTAGTCTTACCGCTCTTCAACCGACCTGTATGACATGGTAGGACCTTGAGGAACGGTTGTTCTAGCCAGTATAGCTCGGTTGGTTCATGACGATGCGTAAGCCCGAACACCACGTCAAGGTAGCAACAACGGTCGGGATAATCATATGTATATTAATAAAGGTTTACTTTAATGAAGCCTTTACTAGAATGAATGAAGTTTTAATGTTTATATGATTAACAGAGTTTAATGTATAAGGAGATTAGTTATTCATTGGTAAGAGGGCTTGGATACTGTTCAGAAACCTCAAACTGTGTTATAGATGGTTTTCTTTCTTATAGGAACCACTTCATTGGAGACTTGAACTCAATGATCAAAATCAAAAGGCATTTTAAATAATGTTAGGAGATACAACTACATGGTAGCCAGTGACTAAAACAGAATAATTTTCCGTATTCAATTTCTTCCCAATATACTGTCTTAACAGAAAATTTGTGTATTATAACTATAGTGAAATTCAGATTAGTTCTAGATTAAACGATCCATTGCAGTGCTAAACATCAATGGAAAAATCCAAGTAAAACAATACCAAGTGAATTTAAAACTTCAGCCTATTGCACAAGCAAGTAGCTATCAGGACTCAGTAGCTAGGTGGATGGATAACGGGATGGTGTTTGAAGCGAACGGTACTGGGTTGGAGTCCCAGAGTGAACATCGACTCTAAGATTCAGGTACATCCCAAATAGGACAAAACGCACGTCCTAAATTCCACTGTTAACCATTATCCATCTTTGTTCATAATGCTTATGAACTAAGGTAATATCAATGTAATACGCACAGTATGCACATATGCCAATTGATCAACTGCAGTGCTAAGCATCAATCGGAAGATTCAAGTAAACAATACCAAGTGAATAGTTATTAATGTTTGTTACAACAACATTATATCAGTATAAGTGTATCCTCATCATTCCACTTCTGATTAGTTTTACACGCCACTTATATCTGTCAACTTTAGTAGCATACACCACAATGATACTCCCAATCAGTAAGATGAGTCTGTAGTGAACTCAAACTCTAAATTAAACCATTCTATATGTCACTGATTTATTCTGATTCTATGAACAGTACAATTTGGTTTAATCATCTCCTTATTTATTATCATCACAGAGTTTAGTATCACGAATTTAATCCTTACCATGGATATACATATATTGAATAGTAAGAAATTCACTTGGTATTGGTTCCTTGAATTGTCCCATTAATGTTTAGGACTGCAATTGATCAGTCTCTTATTGGCATATATGCACACTGTGCGCATCGCTTCAATATTGCCTTAATTTACAAGCATTTTAAGCAAAGATGGATAGTGGCTAGTAGTGGAATCCAGTTTGACGCTCGGCTCGTTCTACTTGTGTTTTGTCAGATGAATGTACCTGCATCTTAGAGTTGACGTTCATTCTAGGATGCAGGCGAATCCTGGATTCCACTGTTAGCTACTATCCATATTTGCTTAGAATTATTGAATAGTAGCTCTATTTTTATTCCACTAATGTACAGACTTAATATTTCAGTGTATTATTCATTTATTTATATCATATAACCTCGTTTCCTTTTAGCTTATTTATGGTGGAATTGAAGAACTATGTTGGGAAATGCATCGTGGTGTAAAATGGGATGTAAATTACACTAATTCATTGAATAATTCTCCAACAAAATATGATCATCGAAAAATGTTGAATGATTTCTGGGATAAAGAAGAATTAGAATTGATTAAAGAAATCGATGCTATCATACATAATAATAACAATGATGAAACTGTTAATAATCAAATGAATGATCAATTATTAAAGAGTAAAATTGTTGAATCCAGTGAGTCAATTAGTTACTACCATTGTTTAGTAGTATAGTATACATTTAGTACAGAATAGGCCTTCAAATACCCTGGTACGGCGGAGAGTCATCTCTCCCTTTTCAAATACTCTCACATGACCACATGCATACATCCACTGCCAGTGAAATCCTACTCACTGCCTTCTCGCACCAGGTGTGTTGTTCACGAAAGCGAGAGGATGAAAAGCGAATATCCGGCGCTTTAACCGAGTTGGTAGATATGGAGGATTCACTTAGAGTAATTGGAAAACCAACAGTGCACATGGGCTCCGTTTGTGGCCCCCTAAGAAAATTACCTGCTTCGGTTTGGGTACCCTTACACTATCATAGCTCACACACAAATCAATTGACTTGTGCGGCGCATATGTATTCGATGCCCCTTTATACCAATATTTATATATTCAAACAGATGAATAATTGACAAACAAAATGAACAACCCAAAAATTTATTTCATTGTCTTTATGGTAGACTCAAATGTGTTTAGTCAACATTAATATATATATGAGTAAAATTATGAAGGGTAGTAAATATTATTAAAGAATAATTAAATGTACAAAAATAGTTGAGTAGTATATACTAGGAGAAACAGTTCAATTTAAAAAAATACAGTCAGAGAATATCCTTTCAATTAGTTCTCACATTTAAACGAAAATTACAGTGTGATCACTGTCACTTTCTATACTGAACCATATCTCATAACGTCTAAAACCACTAAGTTAAAGTACCTCTCAGATTGCAAGCAGTAGGTCGTGATGGACTGACAGATACCAGCCTTACACAGCTTTCATTCGTACCCTAGTATTATGCTATGAGCTGACCACTTCTCAGCTTTAATCAACCAGTCCTCCACGTCGGCAAATAAAGCATGGCATGGGAGTTTTTCAGCCAATGTAGATCAGTTGAACCATCACAATAGGCAAGCTGGAATACCACGATCAAGACATTACGTTCTGTCATAAAAATCGGCAATACGTATCCGCAACCTCACATGAAAGTGATCAATGATTTTTTATGATGGTCAAGCTGTATCGTAGATTGGCAAAAGTTAGGAATATGATATAAGTACCTCCTGTTTTTGCTTAAAGCTTGTAAGCTTTGTGTTGCTTTGGGTCATGGGTATTCATTGCCGGAGAGATTTTCCCAAAATAAGATATAGGATGTTCGTCTTCCAGCTAAGTTCGATCCTGAACAGAAATACTAATTTATTTCAATTAGTCGCCATACTTAATTTCATATTCTATGGAACCAACAGTTTTTCAATACTTGAGATCATGAGTCGATTGAAGGTAGACCACCACGAAAAGCCTGAAAGCACTGGATGGCCGTTTTGTCCTATTGTGGAACTCCTCAGCAGTGCACATTCACGATCCCGCCCCCTGTGAGATTCGAACCCGGGATCTATCGGTCTCGCACGCAAGCGCTTAACATCTAGACCACTGATCCGGCATCCCAATGGTGTTAATGTGTAACTTCAACTAATCCACGAAATTAAGCAACACATCCACCTTTGTCTACAATGAGTGATTCGATTGAACTCCACTGGTCACTGCTCATGACTTATGATCTCAACTATTGAAATTACTATAATATGCACAAAAATCCCTTCTGATATTAACAAACATGTTTGCTGTAAAATTGGATCGGTAGTTTCAGAACTTCGTAGTTATTTATTTATACACTCTATTCACTTATTTCTGCTTATTGAATAAAATGGAAATGATTTTATTATTATTAATGCGATCTTGCTGTACGAAATGGTACCATCACTAATCATCTCACGTAGTTTAAACTTCTAAATTTCCGAATTAGTATAATTATCCTTACATCTCACCAAATTATTATCAACTACCAGCACTCCCATATCATAATGATTAATACTACTCAATTATCAATGCTTATTGTTGAACTTCACAAACTATTAGTGCCATGTACAACAAATACGTGCATACACCATAGATTAGTCAGTCAGCAACAACATAGAACTTCATATGTATGTACATACATCAGTTCAAGTTGCCATACCACATTAGCACAAAGATACAATTGTCGATTCAAATCTTATAAATTCTCATATTTCTCTTTGAAAATTAAATAAAAATAGTAACTACCCGTATTATAACTTTTAATCTGTGTACCCTGTTAATATATAACGTAATGATACCGCCAATCAGAGAAAAGTGAATTATCGACTGGACTAATGATGCATAAAACTTGTACGAGCAGTCTAGAGTCCTTATCGATCTTGCTTCCCGCCTAACCTAGCCAGTTGAGTCCAGAACACCAATCTCAGCCTCTGTGATATGAATCATGTATTTCAAACATACTGGGGTTTATATACACCAACCAAACAAACCGCAACGTACCATAAAATAGGAAAAAGCATTTGTACAAGAATTGACCAGATGTAACTGTGAATGTGGGAGGTAGTAATCGATAGACAGGGGCATAACTCAAGAATGGTAAATCATATAATCATTGGTCAAATTAAAGCTTATGATAAGAGAGACATGAATATGAATAGTTTAATTGTTTAACAATTACACGATAAAACTATACGTATAGTATTAGTCCAGAAATAGATTCCAACAGTTACCATTCATTATTCTTGTCGGGACCTAACAACCCGTAAAATTTTACCATTCTTTATATAATTAGATTCATTTAATTATTCTAATATTGATATTCTATTTTGTTTTTATTGCATACATGATTATAATTTCCAATCATTTATTGATTTTTAATATATTGATTTGATGATGATAATGATCATTGTTTGTATTGCACTTGCCCTTTTTATTTTTGTTTAGCTCGTCATGCACTGATCAAATCATTAGAAAGTATTGCATTGAATAAAGAAAGCTAAAATTGTACTATACTATATATGATATAGAGATTCAAGTAAAAACATATTCCTTTACATTTTGTTCTGTTTACTTGATGTTTATTCTCATTGTTTCATTTATGATACAATTCAACTCGAGATTGCTGCTTCTTCAGTTGATTAAAATGTAGCATTAAATAATAAGTCTCATATTATATAGATTCATCATCATTAAACTAGTCAACATTATTATTATTATCAGAAGGGGTTTGCGGAGATTCTAGAAATTTTCACAGATTGAAATCATGAGTCAGTTGAAGCTAGACCACCATTGAAAACCTGGAAGCACTGGACGGCCGTTTCGTCTTAGTGTGGGACTCCTCAACAGTGCGCATCCACGGTCCCACACCCCGCGGGATTCGAAACCAGGACCTACTGGCTTCGCGCGCGAGCACTTAACCATTAGACCACTGAGCCGGCGTCCAACGGTGTTAATGTCTAACTTCAACCAATCCACGAAGTTGCGCCACCATATACCATTATCTTCAGTGAGCTGATATCTCATAACAGACCTGGTTGAACTCCATTGGTAACGGCTTCCCACTAGAACTCCAAGATGCGCACTGCTGAGGAGTCCTATACTAGGACAAAACGGCCGTCCAGTGCTTCCAGGTTTTCAATGGTGGTCTAGCTTCAACTGACTCATGATTTCAATCTGTGAAAATTATTATTATTGTTGTGAAATACGGGAACATTTCTGATATTCATAAATCTTCATTCTGAACTTTTTCTAAATAAGCGATTTGCATTTAGTTCATTCATGGCTAATTCTTCAACTTTACTGTGTTCGAATGCCGTGAGCGAGATGCGTAAATGCGCATTGCTGAGGAGTCCCATAATAGAACGAAACAATCATCCAGTGCTTAAAGGTTTTTAAAAGTGATCTAATATCAATCAGTTCATGATCTCAATCAAAAACCTAATAATCTCTACGACTCTATACTGATAGTTTTAATTGACTTATGAATTCAACTATAAATTTACCAGAATCTCCATAAAACCCCCCTTCTGATAATCTCATGAGAATATTAGCATATTTTTTTCATTTTACTATCACTGTTTAGAGTTGCACTGAAATGCTTATCAACTATATTTATGTTACTTAGAGGTTTTGAGCTATTATGCCTAGGTTAAGATTTCACTTTCGAGTACAACGCATCTCATTTAATTGATCCTGTCAGTATAGGCATACAATTCTTCAAGAATAGGAATTATTGATGACTATATTATTGGCGAACTCCGCCTGTAGCTCTCGTAAAGCTACTGCCGGTCCCAAGTGGGGTGAAGGAGGAGGGTTGGGCATGGGGTTGGCAACACTATCTTATAGAAAACAAACTTGCTAATAAAAACATTAATCAGAACAAGCGATTTCAACTCTGCCATGGGAGTTGAAGAAAGAATTATGACGCCTCATGGTGAAAGTCGTAATTCTTCGGAAGTCACGAGATCGGTTCCCCCTTCTAACAATCAAAGCAACGATTTTTTATAGGCACACAGAACTTCCGGACAATGTGGGAGACCGAGAGGACCAGTCAAATAGCAACAGAAATGAGGAGATACAATTTGGGGGTTCTCGGGATCAGAAAAACCCATTTGACCCTAGATGGACAGGAAAGGTCAGGTACGGGAGAAATGCTGATGAACTCCGATCACGAAGAGGAAAATGCTCCACATACTTAGGTATTGCTCTGATGTTATCTAAAGAAGCACGAAATGCACTTCTATGATGGGAATCTCATAGATCCAGAATTATCAAAGTATCTTTCAAAACAAAGAAGGAGGGGATTACAATGAATGTTATCCAATGCCATACAAACACCAATGATAGCAACGACAGTGATAAACATCAGATTTACGAAATCGATCATAGCGAAGTGCTCAAGAGAGGACCTGACCATTCCGATTGGAGATCTAAACGTGAAAGTCGGAATGTGAAACAACGGTTATGCAGATATAATGGGACGACATGGACTAGGAGAATTCTCATTCAACAAATTGGTTATAGGCGGCAGAATATTTCCACACAAACGCATACACAAAGCTACATGGGTCTTATCGGACCACACCACGACGAACCAAGTAGATCATACTTACATCAGTAAGAAATTCACAAGGTCGATGGGAGACGTGAAAACCAGAAGAGCTGACATAGCTTCGAACCACCACCTGGCGGTTGCTAAGATGAAACTGAAGCTAAAGAGAGCACTTGGCAACTGAACAAGCAGCACTACATACGTTCAATACAGCCTTCCTTCGAGATACTAACAGACTCAACGAATTCAAGATAACTGTCAACAACAGGTTCCAAGCCTCACAGGATCTACTTAAAGAAGAAACTACTATGGAGGACAACTGTAAAGGTATCAAGCAAGCACTAACCTCAACGTGTCCGGTGGTTCTGAGCCGCTAAAAGCATCATAAGGAATGGGTCTCTATCGAATCCGTGGACAAGACAGCAATTGACAACAGCCGAACAAGGCACACCAACAAATGTAGGTCAATACAGTGTAGCAGCAGCCCTTGCATCAGTAGGCCTCAACATATTCAAGGTAGCAAGCGAGATCCTCAAATACAACACGGAGAATACCAAACCAGTCACTTGATGAAGAAGCTCTACAAGAGGTGGGATCTTTCACGTATCTGAATAGCATCATCGATGAACAATGAGGATCTGATGCAGACGTAAAGGCCAAGGATTGGCAAAGTAAGGGTCGCATTCCTACAGTTGAAGAATATATGGACCGACGCATATATATGCCTGGCACTACGTTGTAGCTGACTGACTGATTGATAAGGGACTCAAAACAACTGTCAACCGATATCAAAGTCACAATTAAGGAAGGAACGAACGAATCGAGCGAAGAAACTTCTTTTCAATTAGTTTTTTATCATGGCAGAATTTTCAATGCGAACTTCAAGACAGTCCTACAGTACGGAGCGGAAAATTGGAGAATTACCACAACCATCATTAAAAAGGTACAAGTATTTATAAACAATTGTTTACACAAGATACTCAATATCTGTTAACCGGATACCGTCGGCCACAACATACTATGGGAGATAACTAACCAGGTTCCAGTTGAAGAAGAAATTAGGAAAAGACGTTGGAAGTGGATAAGACAGACATTGAGGAAATCATTAAACTGCATCACGAAGCAAAAACTAATTTGGAATCCTGAAGGGAAACGGAGAAGAGGAAAACCGAACACACTGCACTGAAAATTGGGGACAGACATGAAAAGAAATAGCAACTGGAGAGGATTGCCCATGAGGGGTAACAGTAAGTAAAAGTATTTCATTGGTAACCAGCTGGGATGAAAAAGCATTTTTAGAATTCTCTATAACGGCCATTTACATCATACAGTTTCGCTTTTAAAGCAAAATTACGTAAATATAGACTTATCATTCTATACTTATTTATTTGAACACAGATATTGATACAGGGGGGCATCAGATACACATGCGCCACACAAATCTCATTTGATTTGTGTGAGGGCAGTGATACTGCCCGGCTGCCCAAACCGAAGCAGGTGGTTTTCTTAGAAAGCCATATCTGGGGCCTTCGACCTAAAGGTCTGATCTCCAAGGCAGTGGAGAATCGTAAGGAGATGCAGTCCCATGGTAGTCGGTGACCAATAATTGGTTCACACATCATTTCTTCCCTTAAGATCCTGAAGCTAGCCCATGTGCAACATTTGTTCTAAATCAGGGTTTTCCGACTCTCCATGTCCACCAACCCGGTTAAAGCGCCGGACATTCGCTTTTCGTCCTCTCAATTTCGTAAACAACACCCCTGCCACGAAAAGTCAATGAGTAGGACTTCCTTGGTAGAGGCTATATACGTGTGGCCATGTGAGAGCATTTCGAGAGGGAGAGTGGACTCTCCCCACTCTCAGTCGTACCAGGGCATTTAAGGATTACGAGTTCACCTAATCTGAGAATGGAACGAAGACTCTGTGACACAATGACAGATAATCTAGCTATTCCGACGCGTCCTAGTCCAGCTAACTTGAGAGAGAATTCGAAATTCGGAAGACAGAAATATATTCCACAAGTAACCAGAAGCACGAACAACCACGACTAGTTGGAAATATATTCATTTATAGATTGATTCATACACCCATTTTTTGATTAATAATTAGGATGAAATCACATATATGAAGAGAAAAAAATACTTAGGGTTATAACAAATCATATGCTACATATTATACTGAGCATAGTTCAGGTCAATTGAATACAAGAATATCGTATGTTATACAGTACATAATGTCACATTGGAAAACAGAAACATACTACATTGAATTAAAAAGAAAATAGAATTACTATTGAGGAGAAATTACAATGGGTAAATCAATCTAATTTTGACTTTTCACATCTCATCATATCATAATTTATGTTTACTTACAATAACCGTAATAAATGTTCTAAATTTCGACTTGTCAGTTGAAGTTAATCGTTTACACCATTGAATGATATAGTTATAAAATTAGGGAAAGTAACAGACCTTATTACCCTTGTTTCGCTGTATAATTAGGTTATGATTTTTTTTTATTCCTTCGTCTGATTGATCAACTATTTGTCTTGTTTTCTAATCATAATCCCAATGTACTAAATTTATACTATAAATCTGTTATTTTTGAACATAACCTTACTGATCGTGCATGATGATCTAATTACTCATTTATTTGTAATTACAGGTGTAGATTTGTTTCCACAGTTATCCTTCTTTATTGATCACTACGTGTATGGGACTAGCATAGTTATTTGCTTTTAAGCCTAACCAATCACGAACTCTAAGGTTATGCTAAAGAGCCTAACGTATCAACGTTATTAGCTTGTTTCAAGACGAGTTCCCTCGCATACCTAGACACGAACGAGATCGGTAGAGATAAAAGTTAGAGCCATTAAGAGCGATCCTGTAGTTGTGATTGCGATTAACGTGTCGCTATATTTCTTGAGTACTTCGAGTTGCACCTGACCCTCAATTGCTTAGGAGAGGACTAACGATGGCCGGATTATTTCATGTTACTAATTTATAAAATCGATAGACAGTCCTCGGACCTCGAGCCAATCAGAGCTGGAGAATTAGTGCCCAAAAACTATTTGATGCGACCTGAAACTGATTGCAGTCTGCTTTTTCGTGCTAAGATTATCCGAAAGTAGGTAGTCCTCAGCTGAATAACTAGTATATGGCGATTTGAGCATAAATCAAATTCTCCTACCTGACATGCTGAATCGCTTGGTACTTTTAATTGTAGTACTATTATTATTATTTGAACGCATAGATATTCGTACAAGGAGGCACCAAATACATATGCGCCACACAAATTTCATTTGATATGTGTGAGGGCTATTGATTTATGAAACAAGGGCATCAATTCGAGCAGAATAAAATGAACAGTCTATTGGTTGCGTTATTTAGCGTTCATAAATATTTAGGTAACTTTTCCTAATGGTGTACTTACAGTCGTTACCTTTTGTTAAAAGAATACTAATTAAGTCAAGTTAGATACCACAGAAACCACCTTCATTGCCAGCACAATCACAGACTACTTAGAAAACAATGACGTTATAAACGAATAAAAAGATTAATGCATTAAGAACAGAATAAACTCTAAATACAATTGCGCCACCGTCGTTGATTTTAAGCTACATCATACCATGTGCATACTGTTTCTAAAACGATATGAATTAGACAGTAGGATATTTTCACAGATGTCAATTCATCAGACAAATTCTCAGTATCCTGCTGAATAATAACACCACTTGTTAAACATTAACGTGATTCCGAAACAATGATGTAACGAAGAGAGAAAATCACATTTCCACAGTTAACTCATTTCACTAACACTCGGTAAAGTCTTCAACAAAACTTTCTCTTTTGAAATACGACAAAAATTATTAGTTTAAATCCGGATGAAACTTTCTAATTTGAAAACCATAGATGTTTGACAGTGGGTATTCTGAAGTTTTGTATAGTTCAGTAATAATAACTTGATCTATACATTTGAATAATATATGTTAATGTGCTCGATATTAAACGCTTAAAATAACCAACAAACGCATTACAAAAGGGAATGTTCTTATTAGTAAGAAGCGAAATACATAAGTCAGTAATTCAGTTGTATATGTTACTCAAAGCAGCTACTCTATTGATACTGTGAAAAGCTGATTAATCAGCATCAACCGCCAATTTACGTGTTTATCGACATTTGAAGAGATAAGCAACATTGCACATTCTGAAATCGTTTTCATCAGCTGTGAATCGGCGTTTGGTATATTAATAAATCGCCTACATTCTCTGTAACAGGCATGTTTGATAGTAGTAGTGAGAAAATTTCCTTGGTCAAACCAACAACAGTAATACTATTTAAACAAGAAGCTACGTTAATTTACGGACAAATATATATTTAAGGTAAACAACAGACTGTGGATCTAAGATGTCATACTGCCGAAACCACGTGGCTTAAACACCAGCACATGGAAAGATTATTCGCTTAAAACTACTTTTTCAGAAAATACCGACTAGTATTTGTCACACGCAAAGCATAAACGACAAGTCACTATTAACCTCACTTGGTAACGATCTAAATCCTAATACATTTAACTTCAGAATACATAAATTAATCAGTAAATATCATTAAATTATACAAAATATAATCGATTGTAGGTCGAAAACAGTTTACAACAATTTGCTGGTACAAAAAATTATTGACTCTCGCCATGTAGAGTTTCTTTGTCGAATGTGTATTCTCCAAGACCAGTACCCACACGATTGAGATTAGTAATGTAATCGGAAAGCTTTTTAATAGACTGTACCTGAGTCTCCAAATATTCATCTAGGAAATACCAGAAACGATATTGTGTATAATGTGGATAACTGAATGAGAATATAATTGTGACAAAAAAGGAATCTAATAGTTTTAAGGTCAAACTTAGGGTATATTGACGACATATATATTGGCGCTCTCTTGTACCAATATTTATGTGTTCAAATAAATAAATAAATAAATATTGACGACAACCTATTAAGTCACCGACTACTCTGGTGAGCTACAACAGGTAGTATACTAAGGATTCAAATGAAATCTAAGGGCAACACAAGGAGTCATCATTAACGTTTCTACTGGCGACAGCTCGACTTTACTGATAAGCAGCGTAGCATCTAGTATGTGCATTGACCGTCAGGACGAGATAAAGTATTCGTAAAATCCCATAATTTGTGCAAAAGACTACCCTAGTGTAGCTTGATTTTACTTCACACTTGCTGGAGTTTTTGTATCGACGAGGTGACATTACGTGCTTTTATAGAGAAGATGGCTGTTATCGCTTTCTACCCATCTAACCTTTGGAAAAACAGACCTTGAGGGCTACACGAAGGGAACTGAGTTAGTAGTCCAGAAGACTTAGGGGCGTGACTATGTTTTCAACGAAACGACCACTTGAGTTCGATTACATCCAGACCCATTTTGAGTAGTCTTAGATGATTAAGCCAGCACTTACAGCAGTTTTTCGGTTGTAAACTCATGATTAATATGAAGTAACATGTCTTCGTTCCGGAATAACCAGCCAACAGCATAGCTTCGAGAGACCAGAATTAAAAATCAAGTTGATTGTGTAGTCACAGCGGGTCAATAAGTTAATCTAGCTATCACTAGTGACCTGGAAATCGGGTTCGCGAGACAACCCCACCATAGGAAACCGAACAATGAACTTACTACCAATAAATTCGCAAAAGTGCGTATCTCTGTGTCTTTCACCAACAGCCAGTAAATCCATCAGACTCTGATTGACCTTCTTTTCTAAATCAAGAGCATCCTGCATAGCATGAAGTCCCGAATTCCATGAAAGTTGAGGAGGTGCCGATATATCTTGTAACACAATCCGACCACCCCGCATGTTTTGATAAGTCATTAACTATACGAAATTTATCTGGAAATTGTTAAACTACCTTAATAGCATGTTGTCGCTCCTCTTCCGACTCGTTTAAGAAAAATTTATAAAAACCGTTCAGCGCAACATCATCACGATTAAAATGAAAAGCCATAGTCATATAAACATAGCTTGCGTACAGCTCCATGTTAATTTGCTTATTAACACCAGCTTCACACTCTTCATGATAGTTCTGTCTACACAAAGACATCCGCGTGCGTTCTTTTAAAGCGAGTTTAAGGGCGGCGGAATACAGTAATGATGTGACGGGATATAGTCAAACAAGACAAAACTAGGTTGACAATTTATGATATAGAAAATGTAAGTAAAACTACGATTATATTTTTTATTCCGTTTCACCTATCTCGAACTTAAAAGCTCTCCCGAAAATCCGTTACATTTAGTTTCAATTGAGAACAAAAAATTACTCATCCAGGAAGTAATTAGACACCTGTTGTTGGCTAATAAGAAGGCTGATGAGGGCTGTACTAATAATATGGGTACTGATGGCGAAGATTGCGTTAGTGTCCTGAGTGCTGTCACGGCGCAAGCCACACATCTAACAATGAAACCCGCAATTAAACTGTCTAACCCGAAGCAATCAATGAGTGACACCTCATAAGATATCAGTGGCCATGTTGCTACAGCAGCGACCGGTGACCCAGATAAAACATTTAATCTCCCGAGTGGTTCTAATATGGATGATACGACTGATGGGATATGGATGACGCGGAAACGCAGAAGAGTAGGAAAGACAGCTAAAACTAATAACTGTTTACTTGACAAGTCCTTGGTGGACTCTCAGACCACTCTGCCAAAGTCCCAACGTATAGCCTCGTCAAATATTATTGTGAGTCACTCCAATGACTCTGCTACAATAAAAACTAATCGTAAGATACCAGTAGTTAATAGACAGGATCTAACGTCACGATCGAAAGCTGTGAACACGGTTTCAAAAGAAGCTAAACCCCTCCCTATTTTAGTTATTTCGAATCTACAGTAGTCGAAAGACAACGACTCTGCTAAGAGACATGCACGTGATCTACAGTTGGTGGAATCGGTGATAAGAAACATACTATCTGAAGAGGTTTCAGGGGTACATATCACGAAAGTAATACGACTTGGTAAATGGGTTGGAGGCGAGACCCAAACAAGAAGGATCTTGAAGCTCGTTCTCATGAATTTTATTGAGAGAGATATAGTACTGAAAAACGCACGAAAAATTCGTGATTCAAATATTCGTATCCGACAAGATTGGCTGCTTGGGGATCAAATTAAGTGGAAGAATGCACTTACGGAGTGAAACCAAATTTACCATTAAGGGTTTTCGGGTAGTCAGGTCTTGGAAGCCAATGCTTCCGCGGCCTGTATGAGTAGAACAAATGACTACCAAAACACTTTAAGTGTGTGCTACACGAACGCTCGTAGTCTTAGAAATAAAACGTCCGAGCTAAGTTTGATGGTGGACTAATTAAGCCCCGATACAATTGTTGTTACAGAACCTTGGTTCACAGTAGATATAGAATGTTCTCCCATCATTAAAGGCTATATCTGTATTAGAAGTGATAGAGTTTTAAGTCGCAAGGGGAGACATAATGTATCACGTTAGGGATCATTTTCGTATACAATCGATAATATCGGAGGCTCATGTTAGTGGTACATGTGAGGGAGCATGTTGTAAGGATAAATCTAGAAACAGGTTGGTGACTATATGGGGAATATACTGTAGTCCGTGTTGAGTTGCTAATGACTTTATCTTAAGACACATCTGTTCTTGGAGTATGGCAGAATGTTGACTCATCATTGGGGACTTCAACACACAGCATATCAACTGGATAGAGCTTACAGCCCCAGGTGGAGGTTTCGACAGTGACCTTTTTTAAACTGGTATTCAGTGTGCACTAGTACAACGTATCACAAAACCGACGCATATTGATTTGCGACATGATCCGTCACTGCTGAACCTCGTCCTCACCTACCACTGTGAGAATGTCTTTGATATTCACCACCTACCGCCACTAGTGAACACCGATCACGTCGTTAAACGGCGAATGAAATGTAGTGATGGTATTCCGCTGTAATTATTACACGAAAATTCACACTTACTAGCTGAATAAGATCGAGCATAAGCTGAAACGTTTTTCAAACTATTTTAGCGAAGTCTGCTCCACGTTTATTGTAACAAGTACCTGTCCCACTCACACCGAGATACCAGCCATTGAGTCTGTACAGGTGACTGCGCAAACTGTCCTTCCGTTGAAAACTAACCTCAAACATTGTAAGATATCGGGCCCTGACGGGTTACATCCACGGCTGCTGTCATCTCTTGCGGATATTATTTCAAAACCGCTTACGACACTTTTCAACATGTCATTCTCACTCGCTCAACTCCCTAGAGATTGGAAAGACGCTATAGTCAGCCCTATATTTAAGGATGGTCAGAGACAGATCGTATCTAACTACCGGCCTATCAGTCTAACTAGCATTGTCGTTAAGTTACTTGAAATGATAATTTGGGTTAGGTCGCTAAGCCACATAGATTCACACAATCTGTTAGCTCCTGAGCAACATGGATTTCGTAACAATTGTTCATGCTTGACTAACTTACTTATTGCGAGAGAGGATTGAACAGCAGCCTTAAATAAAGGCATATCTGTCGATGTGATATTCATAGATTTTAGCAAAGCATTTGACAAGGTTTCACACTTAGATCTTATGCAGAAGCTCACGAGCTTCGGAATAATAGGTACTGTACATGAGTGGATAGGAAATTTCTTATGTGACCGCAGACAGAGAGTGAGGGTCAACGGAACGCTATCCGATTGGAAGCCGGTCAAAAGTGGTGTACGCAAGGCACCATCTCATGCCCTCTGCTCTTCCTTCTCTACGTTAATGAGTTACCGCTGTTACTTAGGTCGTCGACATTATTGTTTGCGGATGATGTAAAATCCTGGAGAACAATAAAAAGTGAGGCCGATCATCTGGATCTTCAAGCCGACTTAGACGATTTGGTTAGATGGGCTCGGGATTGATGCTTAGAAATCAATGCTAGGAAGAGTGTGCTAATGCACATCGGTCACGGTAATAGTTACCATGATAATATTGATGGTAAACCTTCTCCATGCGTTCAAGAACATGAAGACTTAGGAGTAATAATAAGTCATGTCTCTAAAACAACTGGGCGTTGCAGAGCTGTCACAGGCTTTCGTGCGTTTTGGTTGTAGAATCCAAACTACGATTTGGACTGTTGAGTAGCCTATGTGGTAGATTAGACACGCGCCCTCGCCCGTCAAAATCAAAACAAGTAATCGGGTAAATAGCGGTTCTAAACAAATATTACCACACGGCTATTCAACCAATAAATGTTCACTCAATCAAATCACTCACAACAAATGAACGTTATTCTATCCTGACTGGACAGAACACACACAAAAGGAGGAGCAAATCAATATGGCTGCCGCCAAGTACAAGTGTCAAGTAAAACAACACAGATGCAGTTCGGGAAGAAACACAAAACTTAGTGAAGGCGTAGGAAGAACAAAAACTAAAATAAAAAATAAAAATATTAACAATTCAAATGTAATCAAAAGACAACAATGTACAAATAAGGGGATCAATAGGAACAAAGTGCAAGCATATACATGGAAGGATTTTCACAAACACACAAACCATTCAAAACAGATCTTACAATGGTCACTTCGCCGAGCGTTTAAATCTTTTGACGAGGAAATGTTTCGAATTTTATATCCCACCTACGTAAGACCATATTTGGAGTACTGTATTCAAGCAGCTAGCCCTAAGTCTGGTGAAGTATACTAACTCACTTGAGCGTTTTCAGCGTATGTGAACGAAATTAGTGAAGGGTCTTTCTAAACTCCCTTACGATGAGCCTTCTAAAAGCCCGAACCTTTTCCACTTGTCGTATCGTAGCACGCGAGGTAACCTGATACTGGGGGTTCGTACCTTTACGAATGATTTGGCTGTTAATGTGTCTTATCTCTTTACTTCCTCCAGCACTAATAATCTCCGAGGTCATAACAAGAAGGTTCATAAACCGCGATTTAATAAACTTAAAGTAGGTTCCCATTTTTTTCATCGAATAGTCAATCATTGCCTCAAATCCCAATATTACTCAACTCAAGTACCGAGCTCTTATTTATTGATTATTTCTCTCGTTGTTTGGGACGTTAGTTTGTCTTAGAAGAAACCATGACTGTATATAACACTCTACACCGTTCGAAGTATCTCGTACATTGCATTAATTCGTATCTTTGTTAATTAAAACCGTTTAAATTGAGCACAGAAATTGTCTTTTGATGTAATTTAATACGATTCACTCAAAAACGCTTCGTACATCATAAGGAAGAACCTAGTCTGGCCTAAATGATTATTCCTTGGTTCATTAGTTCTGTGTTTAAAGCGAATACTGGTATTTCAGTCATTAAAACCTAAGAAGGGCATATGAAGGCGGCTTGTGACGTCATACTTATAACACGTCGATATGAAATCTGGTAAGATTATTTGGATTCCATGTCGAACCTAGTAGCTTCTTTCATATGTTTCTTTAGGACATATGTGATAGCCGCATCAACCATTGTCTGTTCAAAAGAATTTTCTGACAATCCAGTCATCACATTTTTCCAGTCTACCATGGGTGCATTAAAGTCTCCTAAAATTAAACATCGACCACTTGATGATAAAGTGTTGAGACGGTCTACCATGACCTCATTCACTTCACAGTTTGAACAGTGGCAAACAAAATCAATCAGCAGCCCTTGTCGTTTCCCTTTCAAGCGGCAACTAATTAGTTTGCACGTCTAACTTTCATGGGATATGTTATTGATATGGTTGAATGCTATTAGCAATTCACCTACTTGGTGAACGAATGAAGGTAAAAGATACAGTGATACGATAGGCTATTCTAATCCGTTGTACATGGTCCTGACAACTAGATCAAGAAATCTTGATGAGGTGTAGAGAATGCATTCTACAACCACCCAGAAAATATAAGGTCACTAAGCTCACAAATCAAGCTTATTTATACAATGAAAAAAAAACGCCATTGGCAGAGCCACAAAATAGGCGTACTAAAAAAATTCATCAACCAATGACAGTCAAGGATTTCCGAGTGGGAAATGTAAGGTGTAAGTCAACTCAACGTCTCTCAGCGCGAAAACATAAAATTCAACTTTTCAGCATGAAATTACAAAATTAGGACCTTTTCCAAGGGAGTTCTGGGGATGTAACGTCCTCAACAGTTATCAACGACGATAAA